TGGGGGGGTGTCTGTCCCGGAGCACCCCGGGGGGCGGGACACCCCTAAGGGAGGGGGGGATCCCCCTTCTCCCTGTTTGGGGGTGCACAACCCCCCCAGAGGAGGAAAAAAAAAGGGGGGTGGGGGGCGTGTGTTGGTCTAGCACCTGCAGACCAGGCGCTGCGGGGGGCCGGGAGCTCCGGGGGTACCTGGGCTGTCGGAGGTCTCCGCGGGTTCCAGGCACGGGGAAAGGGGCGGGGGGGGCCCACCTCAAGGGTCTCTGCAGTGCCCAGGAGGATCCCCCAATACCTCTGGGTGCTGGGGGGAGTCCCCGGGTCTTTGGGGCGCTCACGGCTTTTCCTGGGGACTTCAGAGGTGACCTTTCCTCCGAGTCCAGACTCCTTCACAATTCCCAGAGTTTTCAGGGTGTCTGGGGGGTTCCCAGCGTGTCCTCAGTGTCCTGGGGGCTCTCCAGACTTTCCAAGGTGGTGGGACAGGCAGCTCTTCAGGGGTGCCCCCTCCATCTCCTTGGCCCCACAGTGTCCAAGAGCTTGGGGACACCTGGGGGAGTCCTCAGAGGGTCCATGGTGCCTAGGGGGGGAGGCGGGGATGTCCATGGTATCCAGGTTGTCCTTCAGGTGTCCCCGTGGTGTCCTTGGTGCCATGGAGGGGGTCCCCAAGATCTCCAGGTGTCCGGGGCAGTTCTCCATGGTCTCCAGGGTGGGGAGGACCCTACAGCATCCTTGGTGCCTGGGAAGGGTGCCCACAGTCTCCAGGGTATCCTTAGGGTGTCCCCACAGCGTCCTTGGCGTTCATGGAGGGGGTCCCCAAGGTCTCCAGGGGGGTTCTCCATGATCTCCAGGGTGTCCTTGCTCGTGGGGGTCCCCGTGGCCTGGTGATGCCAGGGGACCCAGTCCCAGGGGCCGGGAAGCCAGCGGGGTGGGGCTCAGGCCTTGTGCTGTTTGCTGGTCTTGAAGGAGACCTGGAGCACGCGGTCGCCCAGGCGGTAGCCGTTGAGGCTGGCGATGGCCATGGCCGCCTCCTCGTAGTTGGTCATGGTGACAAAGCCAAAGCCCTTGCACTTGTTGGTGGCGAAGTCACGGATGACCTTGACGTTGGTGACAGCACCAAAGGGCCCGAAGAGCTGCCAGAGGACACTCTCGTCCGCCTCGGGTGCCAGGTTGTAGACGAAGATGCACCAGCCAGCGCCGGGGGCCCCCAGGCCCACCCCGGCCAGCCCTGGCACTGCCTCGATGGCCAACGGGGAGAACCTGGGCAGCAGCGACAGCGGGCTGGCCTGGGGTCAGGGCGTCCGGACGCCGGGTTACCCCCCCAGGACACATGGGTGCCCTCCTGCCAGGGCCCCCCGCCTGCATACAGAGCTGGGGGTGCAGAGCTGGACTAGGGGGGGACTGGGTGGTGGGGAGGGGCCGTTACCTCTTCACGCCGTAGGCCACGTTCAGCAAATTGTCGAGCCTGGAGAGGACAAGAGGCCGTCAGGAGGGGACACAAGGGTGGCGTCTCTGTGCCCTGGGGGTGTCCCATGCCCTGTACTGGCCCCATCCCCTGGGGAGCATTTGTGTGGCGTTGGAGATGCTCCCACACCCATCTCCTGAGGGGCGCTCCCATTCCTGGGGGTGTCCCACCCCCCGGGGACCCCCTGGCACGTCGGGCTCACCGGAAGCGCTGGGGGGGGTGATGCAGAGCACCATAGCGGCGGGTGCTGGGGCAGAGGCTGAGCAGGGCCCCCCCTGACTTCTGGCCTGGGCTGTTGGCGAACTTGACAGTGATGGGCTCGGCGGCGCCCAGCGGTTTCTGCCCGTGCAGTCCCCGGACGGCCTCTTCTGCCTCCACGCGCTTGTCGAAGCGGATGAAGCCCACCCCCCGCGAGACACCTGCACACAGGGCAGCCAGGGGACAGAGCCCTGAGACCCCGCTGCGCGGGAGCCAGGCATCCAGGGAGTCACAGGCACAGACCCACCCGTGGGACCCCAGCACCTGGGGGATCCCCCCCAGGCCCACCCATGGGACCCCCATGTCCAAGGAACAGCCTCCCTCCCAGACACCCCACTGCCCACCCCTGGGACCCGGGCACCCAGGTGACATCCCCCCACCCTGCAGACCCTCCTGGGAACCCGGGCGCCTGGGCAGCCCCCTCCTGCCAGGGGACCCAGGCATCCAGGCACACCTGTGACCTGGTCTACGAGGATGCGGGAGGTGATGATGCGGCCGTACTGGGAGAAGAGCTGCTCCATCTCCTTCTGCCCCATGGCCTTGGGGAGGCCGCTCACATAGAGGTTGGCATCACGGATGGAGGCTGAGCTGGGCCGAGCGTAGGACACC